AAATATAAAGCAGCTAAGGAATTGCTTTCGATGAGCTTCAAACAGATTCACAATGAGCCGGCGGTTGGAACAAACGAGTTGTAAAGATCAGAATGCAGCTAACATGACTGTTCGCTATGATTGCCCTAACGACAGCAATGTAGGTGCTTTGCGTCACTCTTCTTACAGTTTCATGATGTGCTAGTTTGATGAATGTTTGAGACTGTGTTTCAAATGACAGACAAGGTAACTTATTGGACTGGCTCTAAATATTAGCCACATTTCTGCCTGCAAACCATCACCGCGTATGTTTAGGTTCAATCCTTAGATATCAGAAACTGAGTGGGCTATAGCCTAGAGCTGCAATTTTCATAACGAGGACTCACTTATTCGTATAACATTTAATCTGCAACTTCCCCTCCCTCTTTATACAAATTGAAAGAAATGTGTCGGATTATTTCCAGATATTTCTGCGCTCGTACTTTACCAAATTTTTACAGTTTCTGTATATGACAGATTCGTCCATGGCAGTTGCGAAAGGAGTATCAAAGTATAAGTTAGGTTTAATGGGACTACAGGATGGCAGATGGGACAGAGGTGGCACCGAACTTTCTATGGAAAGAGGAATAAAAATCATGAATTAGGTACAGTTATTTTTTATACAAATGATAATCGTATGAGCACTAAAGAGGATAGAGTTTTTTAGTGACAGGAAGTTGTACATAAACTTGTATTAAGAGGTCACTGGAGTGAGATCTTCGTTCCGAATGTTCATGCCCCAACAGAGGATGAAATTGATGATATTAGGGACACCTTCTACAAGAAGCTAGAAGTTGTATTCAATAAATTCCCTAAATATCATATGAAGAATTTTTAGGTGATCCCACTTCCGAAGTAGGGAGGGAAGACATTTTCATACCAACAAAAGGGAATAAGACTTTACATCAAATTAGTTACGATAATGGAATTATATAGTAAATTTTGCCAATTCCAAAAATCTGTCTTTCAGAAGTACATATTCCCACATCGTAACATTCATAACTTTAGTTAGACATCTGCTAATGGAAAGACAATTCAATTAGTCATATCTGGTAAATAGCAGACGGCATTCAAGTGTACCTGACGTCCGATCGTTCAGGACAGCAGATTGTGGTACTGACCACTCTCTGGTGGTGGCAAAATTTAGAGAGAGACTGACAATGAATAAACAAGTGACACACAAATTTCAGAAGTAAAAGTTCAGTCCCAAGTAATTAAATGAGGTAAGGGATAAAGAGCAGTATTGCGTTGAAATCTCAAATAGGTTCGCATCTTTGGAAAAATTAAAAACTGACTTGGGTGTTAATAAAGCTTGGGAAACTGTTAGAGAGAATACCAAAATGTCTGCCAAAGAGAGTCTAGGTTATTATGAACTGAAGAAGCACAAGCCATGTTTCGATGAAGGGTGTTCGGAATTATTAGATCAAAGGAAATGAGACAAATTGCAGTGGTTACAGGATCGGAGCTAGTTAAATGGGGATAATATGAACAATACAAGACGTGAAACCCGCAGGAATTTCAGGAAAAAAAGGAGGGAATATCTGGAAGACAAAATTGATGAACTTGCAACGAAAAGTAGGAACAAAAGCATTAGAGACCTGTACATAGGAATAAAAAAAAATTGAGATGGATTACCAACTTAGAAGTAACTTAGTGAAGAGTTAGAATGATGATCTGCTTGCAGATTCCCACGATATTCTGAAGAGATGGAAGAAATGTTTCTCTCAGCTATTGAATGTACGTACATAAGGTCAGTGATGCAAGGCAGATAGAAATACACAGAACTGAGCCGTTAGAACCTGATCCTAGTCCTTCTGAGGTTGAAATTGCTATTGTAAATTTGAAAAAAAAAATAGGTATAAATGGCCAGGCAGTGATCAAATTCAGGCAGAAGTGATTCAAGCAGGAGGTAAAACGATAAAGATTCATAAACTCTTTAATTCTCTTTAGAATGAGGAATAATTGGCTAATTAATGGAAGGAGTACATTAACTTATTAATTTATAAGAAGGACAATAAAACTTGCTGTGGTAATTATTGGGGGATTTCACTGCTATATACTTCATACAAAATTTTATTAATTATCTTTTTATCAATATTAAATCCATATGCCTATAAAATTATTGGGGATCATTAATGTGGGTTTCGACGTAAAAAATCAAATAAACAACTGATCAGTTTTTTTACCTTCGTCAGATATTGGAGAAAAAGTGGGAGTACAGGAGGATGGACATAACTGCATAATGAAGAGCTTCATAATTGGTACTCTTCGCCAAGTATAATTAGAGTGACAAAGTCAACGAGGATTAGATGGGCAGGGCATGCAGCACGAATTGGGGGGAGGAGGAGGAGGAGGAGAAGAAGAAGAAGAAGAGTGCATATAGGATATTGGTGGGAAAGCCAGAAGGAAGGTAACCACTAGGAAGACCAAGACGTACGTAGATGGACAATATTAAAATGGATCTTAGAGAAATAGGATGGGATGATATGGATTGGATTCATCTGACTCAGGATAGGGACCAATGGAAGGCTCTTGTGAACACGGTAAATAACATTCGCCTTCCATAAATTTTAGGGGAATTTCTGGAGTTGCTGCACAACTGGAGGCTGCTCAAGAAGGGCTCAGCTGCATGAAGTTAGTTCTTTAGTTACATATATTTTTATAATGCCCCTTCGTAACCTTGTCAATTTATTTCTGACTGTGAAGTCGGATATTTTGTGTGAAGGCTGTAATCTGTAACAAGGACTAGCTAAACATCGTGGGAATTGCTAATACCAGTGTTCTTCGAACGATGTTGGGTGTGAACGCCGTTCTGTATACAGGCAAATTCCGCAGTCGGCTTTGTGCACGGTCCTCCGGAGAGCAATAGAGGACGTCATGCCAAAGTTGACTGCTAACATGTCCCAATAGCACAGAGGTAATCTGACTGACGGTAACGCTGTTTCAGCCCCTTCCATTTCCTTCGTTTATTTCCTGTTGCAAGCTCCAGTACTCACTCAACACTGCGCTTTCTTGTCTCCCCGGTTATAAATCACTATAATATATTAACAAATGTTATATGGGCACTTCCAGATATGAAATTTTATGTAATTTTACGGACTGTATTAAACTGTTTGAGTGCAACAGGAGGAGGCATCCATTATTGTGAAATACTTAACATCCTTCTCCACACAGGCAATAAATTGGGCGTGAAACAATGCGTTAGATCGCAGCTTATGACCGTTACAAAACTCGGCAGGACGGTTGAACAGAAAAAAATATGTTTATATGTAAAGTATTCGTTTCGATAATTGTAAAATTAGGTCTAAATACTTTCGAAAATTATGTATATCTAACAATATAAGCAACAGTAATATAACCACGAATTCCTGTAACGAAGAGGTTTCTGAATCTGAACTAACTTTAATTTCAACCGCAGTTTTGATCTAGACCAAGACTCGCATTCGAAATATTGCTCAAACCTACCCAAAAGATCTTTATTTTAATTTTTCTTTTGCCAAAAGGCACATGATTTCTCACACATTTCAATGTAACATTGAAAAAATGGGCTTTAGTGTTATTGAGAATATATGCTGCTCATCGCAAATGGTTGTAGGTTGGAGTAGTTCATGCCGAAGGCACTTTCCTACTCCAGTTAATGTATTGGGCTGTATCAGAAGCATACATTTTAGTGAATGGGCATAATATGCTCCCAGGTAGAATGCTGAAAAGTCTCACTATCACCTTCATTATCATCAATGGATCTATAGCCCTTTTTGGGCCCTGACCGCTTTATTTTCAGCTTCGCAAACCTATACACAGGCAGTAGGACTCCTGGACGGGGTATCAGCCCTTCACAAGGTCGCTACTTACAGAACAGCACAAACACATAATAAACACATATTTAGAGCGGGATTCAAACTCACGACCCCAGCGTACGAGCGAGCAAAGACGGTTCATGCCTTAGACCTCGCGAACAGCCTTATGGGCATTGGAGGGTCTTTTATGATAAATTTCCTTATGATAAAATGATTGAAGTAGGCTATAAGTGTGCCTTTCTGCTGCTCGACAGATTTTCCTGAGTTTAATTTGAAAACTTAATGCAGCATTCAGAATTACCTCTACGTCTTTAATTATCAAATTTGTATGGAAGCAGCAAAATAAATAAAGTTGTCCCTGTAATATAAGCTCTGCTCCGTGAGGCGTAGTGAGAGTGTGCAAATAAAACACCGCGTTCCTTTTCTGTGCATCAAGACTCAGACATCAGTAGTCAAGGAACAGCACCAGTGTACGTTATCGGCATGAGTGAAGAGCTGATGTCATATCATCAACTGGAGAACATGTGATAAGACGCAGACACGTGCTACTTCGGTGTACGGACTAGAGTCTGAATCACGACTGAAGCAAAACTGCGTCTTTCGTCTCATGTCTTGATGCTTGTCTTGACGCAGTTGGCGTGCGGCCGCCCTTAGAGTGGCTTGCTGCTTACGTCTTATTGGCTGTGTATGTGGATTACTTTTCGACCCCGAACATGGAGTCAGTACGCTCTTCTGAAACGTCGAAAAACTTCAGTAGAGCACACAGCGTCACCTCCTAGGAGAGTTTCACCGCCTTTTTTTTTCCCCTTGGCACTACAGCCCCAGTGGGCCTAGGTCTACCTCCATGAACTCTGTTCACTTCGGTTTTTCTAGATTATATACATACGGTAGGACTCCTTTGGCGGGTGATCAGCTCGTCGCAAGGCCTCTACCTGTACACAAACACAGAAAAACGCACACAAACATCTATGCCCCGAGTGGGATTCGAACCCACGATCCCGGCTTCCGAGCGAAGACAGTGCACGCCTTAGACCGCTCGGCTACCGTGACCTGCGTTTCACCGCCTTAAGAAACCGAAATCCAGCGTGAGTGATTTTGTGTTCATGCCTCCTCTGTGTGTTCTTTGTGTTGCGTGGTGTCAGTGCTGATGTCGGAATATGTGGTAATAGGATGTTTTGGTTGCAGCTGTCATATGCGGACACGCACCCGATGTTCACGAAGCAGCACTTCCCAAACTTCTTCCGCGTGGTGCCAAGTGAAAACGCATTCAACGCTCCACGCCTCAAGTTGCTGCAGGAGTTCAATTGGACACGGGTGGGCACCATCTACCAGAATGAACCTCGCTACTCTCTGGTGAGTAGTCGTAACAGTGGTCAGCAAGTACTAGTTTCATGCGTCTGGACCAAATATGGTCAGGTGTTTTGTCATAAAACCTGCAACATTCTATCAAACAAAACAATATTTATGATAATCTTATATACAGTCTTTCCCCGTTCAAGGAGTCCTATGGACTATCTAAGATTAAGAAACTGAAGTGAAACGAGCTTCTCACGAATACCCTGCGTTCCAGGAACAGGAATAGATAGATAGATAGATAGATAGATAGATAGATAGATAGATAGATAGATAGATAGATAGATAGATAGATAGACAGACAAACAGACAGACAGACAGATAGACAGATAGATAGATAGACAGACAGACAGACGGACGGGAAGTTAGACAGCCAGACACAATCCTGTGTTTTAGCGCCCTGTACCTAATGACTGCGATATTTAGCTATGTCTGAACATTCTACGCAACTCTTGCAGTAATATTCTGAGTCTGTGGTTTCTATTTATTCGTTCCCACTGCGACTATATGCTCGTTAGAGAGCTTGGAACAGTTGCGTGGGTGGCAGAAACGCAGTTAAGTAGCTCTATACAGCATTTTCGTACAATGTCGCGCTTTTCTCCCCCCGTTGCTCTGCTCCTGTCGTATGGTTAAGGCAACTGATTCCAGTCCAGCGTATCGTTAGGATCTTAGCTTTTGGTTACACCTTTTTCTTTCGTATTGTAGTCCCTGATTTCACATTAGCAGCCTTTTTTCTGCATGTCATTGTCAGGAAAATGGAGAACTGTAGGGGTCAGTCATAAGAGTGGCGTTTTGAGCGGTAGCGTAGTTGGTTGAGGCACCGTGCTACAAGCTGGAAGGCTAGGTGCTCGATTCGCAATGAGGTTATTGGATTCTTCGAGTTACCTAATGCTGCCAGCCGCACTATGACTCTTGGATCGACTCTGCCTCTAAAGGCGCGTCCACATTACTTGTGCTCGTGCTCGTAGTCATGTGACTCGCTATACTCGCGAGTAATGTGGACGGTATGACAAGTCACGATACAAGCAAATTTTAAATTTTTAGTGTAAAAACTGTAGCCAATAAATTAAAATACGACTAAAGCCTATACACACTACGAGTAAATATACGGTTCCTCACGCGCCGAAGCCTGGCGAGCAACTGAAGTAATTTGGACGAAGATTTACGAGCACAAGTAAAAACCAGACGAGTCTCTCGACGAGCACAAGCCTGGCGAGCACGAACACGAGNTAAGATGAGAAGGGAAGTAGTAACAGCTTCTTCTTGCTCCTCTTCTGCAGTAAGAAACTGTGGATTTACTTGCATATTCTAAACCGTAAATCCGAAAATTAATTACAGTAAAATTTATCTTCTTTCATATTCTCTTTTATAGAAGAAAAGTTGTCGTATTTATAACAGTAGAACAATGTGCAAAGAATATGCTCACGTGAAACTGATCTCAAATTCAGTGAGCTGTATATAGCTACATGCTACAATAGAAAATCCTTATATCTGTAGTTATACTTGGGAAAGAACGGAAATTTTCAGAATCTAGCGTCAGATGATAAAAATAATTGTTTTGTGATTTCTTTCTATAATGTTAAAAGATTAAGTATTTAAATTCAAATCTCCTAACATTAGGCGTTTTCGCCGTTACTCTTGTGTTAAATTTGGAACGAAAATCAGTCCAGTGTAAACCACATTAATACAAATAATCCAAACATTTAATTGTCTTATATGTTTTAGACTCTTAGCTACATCCTCAGAGGCTAGACAGTAAATGAATCTTGCCTTATAGTTTCCGATGATATTAGTATAATAAGTTCTACATCCTTAATGGCAAACTACTTTGAATTTTTAGAAATTTAAATATTATCAGTACAAAGGTTTCGTCCTTGTTGTGTCTTCTGATTGATACTTTTTCATTCTGCTTATTATGACTTCATAATTTGTTATACTAAGTTCCTTAATAATTGTGAATCAAGTTTATTTTACTATTAAGCCTTCGAAGATAGCCCAGAAGGTCCGAAACTTTTAAGGCAATATAAACAATTGTATTGTGTACGTTAAGTTTGTTTGCACTCGACGCCTTGTCATTCCAGATCAAAACTATTATCTTCATTAACAAGTAAAGGAAAGTCGTCACCCAGAATGTTCAAGAATATTGAACACGTGAAAGCCAAGCGTAAAGTGTTAGTCTCCTCAGTTAAGCCATATATTACGTGTATGAAAGAACTATATGTGGCCTTTCTTGGTGTGCTACAGGATTTCCGTTTTCTTCAATACCTAGTGTTGTTAAGATTATTATAAAATGGAGGTTGATATGTCAAAAACACAAGAGAGAAGAAGAAACAAATATATCTTTTGGGTGACGTTAAAAAGAGATTTTCGTGTACGCCGTACAAATGTCTGCCGTCAATGAGAGCCATTTCATACTCTGCATCTCATTGTGAAAACAATGGATGAAAAACGTTCTCTTCTGGCGCATGCTCAGTAGGTATGTATAGTCTGTAAGCAACTGGAATTTGTGAAAATGGTGTATGAGTGGAAAACAAGCGCATTTTATACACAAATGTGAATTTTAAAGAAATGTTCTCTATGGAACATGAAGTGAGAGTCCCCTATTAATGACCCCTAAAATTAATTGAAATCAAATTCATACAGTGTATAACAATGTAACGTAACTGCGTATATGCGTAGAATATATGATTATTTATTCATGTGGTAAAAATCAAGAATATTTTCTAAAAATATTTTGATACTTAAATCAAATAACTCCTAAACCGAAACAAAAATTTAAACATTCCATCAGCATTTAACCCAAGTCTGCCTCTCATAATTCCACTAAAAATATGTCTCTATTTTGAGTTCTCACAAGCGGACAGGCAGAAATGACGGGGCTAATAAATAATGATTATGTTATTTTCCATATCTACCTAAAAATATAAATTATGGTTGGAAGAACATACAAACTCGAACTAGGTGGAATGCCTAGTTGGGAATAGAAGTATAAGATTAAAACGGAACTTCGATTAGGAATTCGTGAGCATAGAAAATTGATTTAACTGAAAAAGGGAAGGATCCGGTCTGTGGTTTCTTTTTATTAGATATACTGTGGACACGTGAACGACAGTAATTGATGGTTTTCTCCAAATCTATGTATCTGTGACTCTACAGTCTTTTATTGTCCTTGGCCGCTTTTCAATTTCTTAACACTATACATAGGAGGAGGAATCCTTGGAGGGAAGATGAGCCCGTTCTTAGGCCTCTACCTATACACAGAACAACAAAAACACAGAAGAAACGCACACAGACATCCATGCCTAGATTGGGATTCGAACCCAAGACTGCAATGTTCTAGCAGGTGAAGACTGTTCATGCCTTGAAGCGCGCGGCCACTGTGGTCTGCTTTCTAGTATAATAATGTGCATAGGTTAAAATCTGTCAAATTAGTTACACTCTTAGATTCGCCGTGAATGTGGGTAGGTCTGCTAAGATTTTCATTCGAACACCTCACGAATAATGTTCTATCAACATTCTAATAAAATATGACGTAGCTTTACACCAGCCTAATTTAGATTTTCTGACAAGATGTCAGCTTATCACTTTGCAACTAGGTCACTCTGAATTCGCAGCTATCTTATGTTGTAGTTTGGAAAATACGGGAACAAAAACTTCTGGGTCTTTAAGAATGGATGTGAAAGTTTTGTAAAGAGCCAAGCATCGTTGTTATGAGTTCCGCGTCTGCGGGTTGATGGCGCTCTTGTCGTACTTAGTTTCAGCAAATTGTCTCGAGCGAGTTGAAATACTCTTCATAATTTCAGGGCTATAAAAACTTTGTTCGCTGAAAATATAATAATCCAGAGCATGAAGAGTTTTATCATCTGGAAATAAGGCTGTGTATTCTGTTGACGTTTCGGACATCGACCCTCATTATTTATATACATCCCGTTTAATATCTTCATTCGCAGAATATCTTTATAACAAACTTACCTGGGATATTAGATACAATACGATAAGTATCTCTGTGAGCTCAGCGTCTGAGAGAGACTTGGTTCTCACGGCGGTGAATATTAAGAGTCTGAAGATAGATGCATTAAGTTCCTCTGAGATTTCTGTAAATGTTTGCCAGACTGCAAGGCGTTCCCCAACACAAGTCGGTATTCATCACTATTATGCCTACTTTATTACATATAATTCCTTCCTCATATGGCTGTTAGCATAATTTTCCGGTTAATCAGAATTTATGATAATACATTAATAATAGGTTGGATAATTATACGATTCAGTGACGTAGATTTCTGAACATATAAAGATCGGAAAATTTGATTGATTGATCAGTAACTGTCAGATGACAGGTCCACAGTCTCTTCCAAAACAGTTCCTCCACTTAATGTGATCTTCTGTTTTTGGAAAGAGACTGTCCAGGAAAAGTGATAATGTGGTAGTTTTTCCATTTGCTTTCCACATCGCAGTACAACAGCCGTTCAAACCACTCTGGTCACGCCTGTTGCTATACGAACTTGAACCATCTCGAGCATCATTTGTTCTGTGCTTCAAGTCGCTGCTGATGACGCTGCTTCCGGCATCAGTTTTTGGTTTTTGGTGTCTCTCTTCGTCTGATGCCTACCCTTTGACCTGTCCAGCAAGGGAGGCCCTGCCAGTTACGCTACCGCTGGTATAGCTCTCAGGGTCCTTGGCATACTCAAACCCCCTCACCACGATAAGGTGGAGACACCAACGAGGGGGCGGAAAATTTACCGGACATAAAATCAGACGTTCTCGCTAAATGCGGTACGTTCAACACACAATCACACGATGAAATCAGCAAATAAGCGACTATGCTTTCTGATTATGGCCAGCACTTACTTACTTACTTACTTACTTACTTACTTACTTACTGATGGAGCTGAGCCCTTCTTGAGGAGCTGCCAATTCTGCAGCAACTCAAGAATTTCCCAGCATTTTATGGAACCCGAGGGTTCATTACCGCGTTCACAAGAACCATTCACTGATCCCTA